TAATTCCAGCAGCTCCAGAGGCTGAGGCAGGAGGATGGCAAGTTCAAAGCCAGCCTCAGCAACTTAGTGAGGTCCTAAGCAATTTAGCAAGACCCTGTCTCAAAATAAAACATGAAAAAAAGGGATGGGGATGTGGCTTTCTGGTTAAGTGCCCCTGGGTTCAATCCTTGGAACCAAACAAACAAACAAATAACCCTGACATGCATCTATGGAACTTAAGTTCCAAGGACATCCCCAGCAACACTCCAACTTTTTTTTTTTTTTTTTTTTTTTTTGAGACAGGGACTCCCTAAGTTGCCCAGGCTGGCCTCGAACCTGCAATCCTCCTGCCTCAGCCTAGTGAGTTGCTGAGGTTACAAATGTGTGCTGTGCTGGGCTTGGATTTCCAGTTTTATGTGTTATTAACAGTGCTTTCATCTCTAGTAGTTGTATTGTGCAGTAGAAACAGAGGTGGGTTTCATCCCAAAGCCCAAGGATTGACCCTTTCAGCCAGGATTTCCAGCGATCTAACCACAGATCTGAGCTTCAGTTTCACCATCTGTAAAGTAACCTACTCTTATTGATTTATGAGACTTTGTAGATCAAATATATGTGAAAGTAACTAAATATATGTGAAAGACTAGACAAATACAATAAATTATTAGCACATGAGTGGGTATTTGCCTAGTACACTGCCTGGTAGAGTAGAAATGAAAAAGTGTTTTGTTTGATATGGAATCTCCATTGTGGGAGAGAAGCACCAGCAGTTGTCTCTACACTGCTCATACTGCCTGTCACAGTCTGTATTGTATCAAATGACCAACAATGGATAACTCTGGCCTGGAATTTTTTTTCTTTATTCTGCACCTTAGGATCCTTGGACACTGGAACCAAGATAAATCTCATAGGAGAATATTCCTCATAGAATATTCCTTTTAACATTTTATTTCTTCTGTTCTCAAACCAATGTCTCCAGGTTGCTATGGATACCTATAGGCACTGCTTGCTTCTGCTGGTTGTACAAATGACTAGAGCTTGCACACAAGCACATATAGTTACACCATAGCTAAACTCCACAGCATAGAAGAAAGTTTCTTTGTCTGCAGAAGATCAAGAGCCAGAGAAAAGCGAATACCCCCAAGTATGACCCAAGAAACCTTATATCGTAGGAAGAATTGTAGATGCTACAATTACTCTGCCTCATGAAAAGCATCCGTGTGTGTGTTGCTGAGGACTGAACCCAGGGCCTTGTACATGGCACATGCATGGCAAGCTCTCTAGCTTTGAGCTACATTCCCAGACCTGTCAGCTGTTCTTATACCTGCCCCAAAGGGAACCTTATCTTCTAAAATTTTTTAGGCTAAAGATATTACACTGATCTCATTGGAGGCCCCTTTTCATTCCGTTTAAATATGGAAAGACAGAATTTCTCTCCCAAACTATAGTGGGATATCCTGCTGACCACATGCCAAAGATCAGCCCATTTAACCGAGGCTGCCCAAGAGCAGGCTCTGACTGCTTCCAGAGAAGGATTAGATCCCCTCTTTTCAAAGCTGTATTTAATGTTACCTCACATAAGAAAGCACTGCCTAATGTAACACAATGATATTAAACTCTGCAGACTCAAAATTATTCCTAAATCATATAATCTAGGATAATGAATCCAGAATTTGGAATTAGTCCCAATTCCACTGATCAGCAGTRATGCTGGTGTCATAACTGTGTTGAGATTGTTTTGTCTTTACAACTCTCTCAAATTCTGTGGAGGATTGAGAATAACGTACATAAAGGATTTTAGAAATTGTTAAAGTGAAAATTCATTTCCTCTTAATTTTCTTAATAGTTATCAGCTACAGTTGATTGTGAAGAAATAGAAGCCTGTACTTCTGGCTGGACAGGGCCAGTTATGGAAGAGGCCATAGCTCAGCTGATACAATTTCCAAATGAGGATCCCAAACCTAGCGTGTGTTCCTCCTGGAGCCAAAGGCTGACTTCAATTCCTTTCTAGTTTATCAGCTGACAGAATTGTAATAACATGTTTATGAGAGCTCAAAACACTAACAATTTAAAAACCAGTTCTCTGGAGCTCCTTCCTGTTTCTAGGCCTTCATAACGCTSTTTTTCTGAACTATCCTCACTCTTCACTGAGCTACTTCTGCACTATCCTGCAAATGTCACCTAAAATACCATCTCTTTCACAAGGAAACCTGCCTTGACCAGGGACAGGGTCTCACTAGCAAAGCAACTTAGAACTCTCCTCTGTACCACTGAACTCAATCATGCTTCTAACTATCCTCACACCCCCACAAATGTGAATATAAGTTCCATTAAGGCAGGGTTCATTTCTGTCTGGATCCTTCCATGTCCATGGAGCCCTAGATAAAGAATAAAAAGGTGTTGAATGAGTGAACAAGGATAAATCACTGTTTCTCTCAAATTTTGTTAAATGAATTCTGGTGACAATGAATAAAATATACAAAGAAAACTAATGCTGGCAGAAAGGGTTATGGATGGAGAATTGCTTCCTTTGGCAGTTTTCCCAATAAAAAGAATTAATGGGTTTAATTAAATCACCAAGTTCTTCAGAAACACAGGAATGGCCAAGGACCAAGCATGCTCTGCATTACTCACAACATTCAAGGGGGAGGTGCTCTTCTCAGGGGAGCAGTGAGGGTCTACATGGAAKTCAGTGCAACTGCCTTTATAAGCAGACAATTGTCCTTTCTTTTTCATTTGCAGGGCCTAAATAGTTTCTAAGATCTTCTTTAGGAATGGAGCCTATTTACACAAAAATCACAAAGAAAGTGAAGTTTCCTTGTTCTACCCTCATCTCAATTTTTCCTCAACTGATTCCATGTGTTCTTCATTTCTGTCTTAGGTAACTTTACATCAGTATTCAGCCTCATCTAAGAGAAGTAGCATTAAAAAAATACTTTTAGTTGTAGATGGCACAATATCTTTATTTTGTTTATTTATAAATAATCAAAACAGTGCTGAGGAGCGAACCCAGTGCCTCACACATGCTAGGTAAGTGCTCTATCACTGAGCTACAACCCCAGCCCAAGAGAAGTAGCATTTTTATCTTATTACAACTGTAGGGAAAAAGGTGGGCTCCTCTATAAATACTGTGTCAGACAATAGCTAACAAATCTGTATGGATTTGTGTGTGGGAATCTGACTGCCCCCTGCCTTCTGGAATCACCTTTGCTTACCTCCCCACTTAGTTAAGCATTGGTTGATTCCAGCTGCCTTAAAAACACATAAATAAGAAACAGGGCTTAACTTTCATAGAATGCATTATCACTCAAGTGAAGTTCAACATCTCTATCAATTAATGTTGGTATGTAAAAGACCAAGAATACAGAGAGACAAGGTATTTTGTGACCCTGAAGTGTTGTTGCCTGAAGCAGACCTGCAAGACACAGGGCCAGAGTGTTTACTCCTTGGATAAATGGCCAACTTGGTATTTCCTCAAAGACCCCTACCACAACTTCACCCTGATCTTTGCAATTTCACTGGGTAAATGATTCCTATTAGGGTGACTTCGAGGATCTTRGGCATTAGGGATCTTAGGTTTTAGAAATCATTTCTTTTATTATCCTTTCATTAACTGTTAGTCATTCTGGGTTGTGGTATTTTCCTGCAGACTGTAGGTTTCACTTCTTCCCTATAAATGAAGAGGCAACCCATGAGGTTGTTAAACAGATTCTATTCAGTAGCTGGAAAAGTGAATTTCCTATGGAATGACAGGAATTACATAGAAGCAAGCAATTTTATTTTCCTCAAATGTAGCAATAATTTTAATCTGTACATACATAAAACAAACAGTGCAATTATAAAACCTTGAAGGTGACATGCATACTTTAAGGTGCAGTTGGGATGGGGAAGGATGCTAGCATCTCCAATTTTCCTTACTGCTTTTCTTTTCTAGTTCCTTATGCAAAAGCACTGAGTCAGGAAACTTCATCTGGAATGCTGAAGTTAAGGGTGAACTTCCTGATGTCTGCACATCTAAATATCACAAACAATGGAAATGGCCTCCTAGAGCAGTTTGGTAGGGACTAGAGTAATACGGCTGGGCTTTCAAGCTGGAAATTAATGAAATCAAGGATGCACTTTCTGAAAAACTAAAAGAGATAATGTTTTTGACTGACTGTCCTATTTCTGTTTCATAGTTGCTACCCATGTGAGCCCTTCCATCAATTTTTTTTTTAATTCGGTGTAGTTTCCGAATAGATGCTGTTCAATGGAGTTATCTGAAACTAGGGGTGGTGAGATGCAGAAAGGAGGACCTGGGGAAATGGCTTCTTCCTTGAAGTCTGAGTCCATGCTCCTCATCCATGTTGGTTCTTATGGCCTTTTCTCTGCCGCAAGCAGAGGTAGCTGGTGCAGAAGGTCAGTGTTGTCATCGTTCACAGGCCCAGGGATGCAGGTAATGGTGAGTGATGGGGGTCTACTTTGCTTCTTCCACACAATGCTTTCTCAAGCTTTCCTGGCCTGTGGTGGAACTTCTAGAACTAGAAAGTCAGTTCACTGGCTCCTTTCTCAGAGACCAGGATGAGATGGGACGTGGCCGAATGACAGGACACAAAGGGAAAACATGGTACCAATTAGCCTCAGAGCAGGATAGAGAAATTTATATTTGCACAGATGGAAACTCAAATTCCCAAAGTCAACCTAAGAAAAACAGCAGATTTTCTTTGAGCACTAATTTCCCTCTGTACAAGCGGCATGTGCATTTCTGGCTGGGTGATCCTGGACACTCTGGGGTAGTCTGCTCTAGCTCAGCTGGAATGGCTCTTTCTGGCAGTGCCACATCGATATGAGCCCCAAAGTAAATCCACACATGGCATCACGATTGCTAAAATAATGAAATATTACTAGCCAAATTCAACTGCAATTCAATGTTATATTTCACACAAATTTAGAAAAATCAAGAATATGATATTAAAAGCATAAAATTAAACAGAAAGAAATCAATTTCTACAAGAAATCAAATATATTTACAGTGAGATTAAAAATAAGCTACTTGAATCATAAATTTAATTTTATTTTAAATAACTTTAGCTACCTCAGCTGTTAATACAATAAAAGCAGAAAGAACAGGCTGCCTTTTTCGCCGGATTTAATCAGGAAACTGTATCTACAGTAATTGACAGAACTCGCATCTTGTCCTTCACCCATCTCATCAAAAATTATTGCATTTTTTCCCAAACTGTATTTTTTGGATTCCTCTGTGAATATCATCCTCTTTCCTGGAGGCATCTTGGTTTAAATCCATCTTTAAAAAAAGGAGAAAGGGTACATATGTGGAGGCAAAATATTATCTTGAAGCCAACAGATAAAGAGTTGCTTGAAGAAGCTGATTGTACATACAAGCTGCCTGGGGTTGGGGTAGGGAGGGCTGTTGGTTTTGAGGAACGTGACAGCCTTTGGTGGACGGACACAGGCAAAGCCCCACGGGCCTATCTTCCTGGGCAGGGTCAGGACTGAGCCAGCGAGGTGGAGCTTCGTCTTCCCCTTGGAACTTGTTGTTTTGGTTCTCCTTCAAAAGCCTTCATCCAGATAAGAAGCCAATGACTGATTACAAAAATAAGAATAATTAAATTTGGCTCAAGAAATAGATTGTCCAACTGTTCTGCCTTGTTTCTAATATCCAAGGCCTTTACAAAGAAACAAAAGCATCTCTCAATCTCCCAACAAAAGTGAACATTTTTTTCTTTTTTTTTTTTTTTTTTTTGCTCCAAATGCTACGACCTGAAGAATGGCTGCAGATTGAGATATCAAAAATCTCAGAAAAATATATAATATATTTGTATATCTCTGTATGTCTATTATTTAAATTTCACATTCCTTTAAAAGTGGTTATTCAGTCAGTAGCTGCTGAAGGAGGCTCTTCTGCTGGGCCTGGGGGGTCTGTGGTCCTGACGTGGGTTTTTGAGTTCCCAGTGGACCAGGCTGGTTCAGGTAAGGGTCCCCGCCTACCAGATTCACTGTACACTGGACGTCAGCAAACACCTGAACCTGTTGCACCTGCTGGAACACAAATAAAAGATGTGTTTAGACAGAAGGGTCTGCCCCCCCGGCTTATGAGTGGGTACTACTTGAAGTGGAAACTCACTAGAGCATTCCTCTAGTCTGTAGTCACCACAGAGAAGAACTCTTCTGTCTTCTTGTCCTACAAAAAGAAAATCGCTGCACTCATTTTGCTCAGGGTTCTGGAAAGTTCACACTTTAAAAATAAAATAAAAATTGGAATGGTCATGTCAACCCCTACAGGGTTGCCATCAATACTGAAAGTGAGTGTCATTGCTAATATTGCCAAGGTTGGGAAAAGCCCAGTTTCAGAGTATGGTACCCTGTGGTGGGTCCAAAAAAAAAAAAAAAAAAATAACATGCTATTTGGAAAACCAGTTCAAAAGCATTCTACAGATGACTTTAGTAGGATAAAAAATCTTTATGATGGCACTGAGAAATTAAGGGCTTTAACCCAGTATCAGCAAAATAAACCCACCACAACTTAGTAACAGGACATCAGCACTACTAAGGTTAATGTCCRGAAGATTTGTGTAGTATCTAAATATATTATTACATAGCTCCTTACATATGAGCTTTAGAATTACAACAAATTATCATTTGAACAATTTTATATTTGACTTTTTTTCCTGATAGACAATTCCTTAAACACATGAGCTAAAAATAACAGTAAATCTACTAGTTGAAGACAGTGTGAATTTTCCCTTTACTTTCAGTAGTAATACATATATTCCTTAAAAATGTCACAATTTTTCATAGTTCTAACATTTTCTATTGGGAAAATAAAGCCAGAAGTTAGTCTTACCAACTAGCTTATTAAAAAGTTGTTAATAGAAATGATTAAGGCCAATATCACACTTCTGAATGCTCCAGAGCAGGAATAGAAACGCCTTCTAAGGCATCTAAGTGTCTCCAATTTTTGGCAAACTGGTGCCTTATGTTTAATAGGTTCATAAAGAATTTTAGATGTGTTTTTTTGTCACTTATCACTAATATTTGGCAATTACACTCCACTCCTCTGAAAAGCTTTCTACTCTAAACAGAGTAAAAGTTGTTTTCTACCAGCCTTCATGTCCTACCAACTTTCTGTATCAGTCTAGCCAGTAGTGTCTTATTCTTAATCCACATACATCCCCACTCCATTTGCTCTCAGATAAGRCAGACCCTGAGTAGTGTTTTTATGGTGCCTAATGAATTAAATCCCTAGTTAGATTAGATTAGCACTGTTTCTCTCCTCATCTTGCTCTTTTCCTAGTTTCCTAGGTTTTGTTTCTTGCCCCTATATGCTTCATCTTTGAGCTTTTTCTCAGGTATCTAAAGCACACTGACTGTCTTACGTCTGCTCTCTAGCCGACTCTGTGCCCTCACTAAACTGCTGTTGTAACCGCCATCCCTACTTTTCCTCTGGGGTTTGACCTGGGCATTCTTCTCTCCCAGGTGAACAATCCCCTATCACCTCCTCCTGCTTCTTTAATCTCTGCAACCCTTTCTTCTTCTTTCCTCTGTCTAGCCTCCTCCCCAGTACAGCTGGCCCCTGGTCCTCCCCAGTCCTCTCTCCTTTTCCATACATCTGTCCCTGCATTTCTACCTCCCTCACTCCGATCTCTGTTTGGCAAATATAAATTCACAGAGACAAACAGAGGTGTCATGAAGGGCTACAACAGAAAGAAGACTCTGCCACTGAGACTTCGTGCGAACACAAACAATAGTGTTTTTTCAGCAATTAAAAAATTTTGTGGGGGGGAAACTGAGGATTGAACCCAGGGATGCTTTACCACTAAACCACACCCCCAGTCCTTTTGATTTCTTATTTTGAGACAAAGTCTAAGTTGCTCAGGGCCTTGCAGAATTGCTGAGGCTGGCCTTGAATTTGCAATCCTCCTGCCTCAGCCTGCGAGACACTGGGATTATAGACATGCACCACTATACCTGGGTTCAGCTATTATTTTTAAATCAACATAACTTTCATGTTTATGTATTCCTAAATATGAAATAATGGGGCAAAGCCTAATGTGTTTTTGTCYCCAAATAATGAAAAACACTCCTGATAAAGAAAAGCATGATACAACAGACTAGAGAGAAAATTCTGCTTCTTTAGAAAAAAGTAAAAGAGTATTTTTAGATAGTCTATTTTTGAAATTAAAAAACCTAAAAAAACAAAACAAAACTCTAAAACACATTTCATCCATTTTGAATATTTACTTAGAAAAAAGGATGCCTTAAGACTCAAGGACTTCTTTCACAGACGGGCAAAGCCTACACAGAAGATGAAGATCTGCCAGGGGAGAAGAATGGGGTGACAGCGAGTGCCAGCCTCTGAAGATTTTCCAGCATCGTTTTTCCTTTAATTCAAATACTATCCCAGGTTCAGAACTTACAGCTTGGTTGTTTTGCTTTAACTAATTTGTCATGATACACAGTACATGACTCTGTGAGCATGAGACTTTCAAAGACTTCTGGTAAATGAAGACCATCTTCATTCCTCAATCACAAAACGCCCTTTCTTTATCATCAAAGGACTGAAGTTTGGTTTCATAAAGCTCGGACTCTGGATACAGCCTCCTACCTGGTCTTTCTCCTCCTAAGCCAGTTGTCCAGCAGGCCTTCCTTTACCTCTTCCACCCCAAGATAAAGCCTATGCCAGCACGCTTTATCAGTGTTCTCCTTCAGGGATGAGTTTATTTAGGATGAAGTCCAGATCACTCAGTTAGTATTCAAAGGAAGCTGGAAATTTGTCCCCATCTACTGTACCAATTTTGATTCCTACAAATTCTTACTACAAACTTTTTACCTTCAGTGGATTTTGTTTTCCAGGACTATGCTAAGATATCTGTTTCCCTGTCCTTTACTACCCCTTTTCTGGCTTCTAACAACCATTACATAGACCTTTCTCTTTCTCCTGGCCTGAGAACTGTCCGTCAAGCCCAATTCAGCCTACTCCTATGTAAATTCTCTCTGAAACATCTCAGTCATTTCTCTTTTCTTTATTCTTTGCAGCAATAGGGCTTGAACCAGGGCCTTGTGTACTAGGCAAGAACTCTTCCACTGACCTCAGTCCTATTTATTCTTTCTTTGAATGCTTATGCTCTTGTTACTTGTAACATAAATTTGATAGTTTGCCTTCTTTGGTTATGTGACAGTTTAGGTACATGTGTCTATATGTTTTATCTTTCAACAGGCTCTAAGTGRTGTGACAGATACAGCATGAACTTTGGTGTTAGAGAGACCTGGGTCTGAACCTCAGCTTCTCCTCATTGTAGTTTTGTAAGTGGTACATATAGTTAAACCTTCTCAGGTTCGGTTTCTTTATCTGTGAAGAAAAGGAACACTACCTCCTTTGTAGGGTTACAGTGAGGCTTAAATGAGATAAAGCATACAGTGCCTACCACAGTGCCTGGCAAATCATAAATTTTACAATAAAACTTTTTCCTTCTCTTCTTCTCATAGTTCACCCAAAAGACAAGGAAGATATGTGTATTTCTATCTCATCTACATCAAAATACCTATGTTAAAAAAAACTTAAGATAAAGATGAAACCCAAATTACCAAAGTGAATTAAAACCTCCAAAATTTCTAAGTTTGGTTAATACAGGGAATTTGGCCATTTGTTGTTTATGCTGTTCAGAAACATACTTCTAAGGAGGCAGAGCACATAGCAGACACTGTTTAGTGTGAACTTACTTAGATCTTCTGAGTATTTTTATTACAGATGAGTTTTAAGCACTGTTACTTAAACAATAACAATGAGTGGCCACCTGTGTGATTCCCCTACCTACCCTTTCTAAGAACTCAGTTAAATCCTCTGAAAGCTTATCTCATTTAACCCTCTCAACAATCCTATAAGCAGGTATCTTGTTAGTTCTGTGGTTACACAGCAGCTCAGGAAAGTTCTGTATCATGCCCACAATGACACAAATAAGGAAGTATGGCCAGGACTCACACCCAGGTCTGACTTCCAAGGTCAGGTTCTTAAACCACGATGCTACGCAGCGTCCTCTGTGTATCTAGAGTACATATGACAGCTCTGCACTTAGCATTTTCTTACTGACCTGGGTTCCATCTGCTTCTGTTTTGAGAAGGTCAGTGGATGAAAGCTGGTTGCAGTAGAGGCCTGTGTGTCTCAGTGCTGGATCATTTATCTATTAAAGACAAATATAAGGCCAAATTACAAGCATGTTGTTTAAGTTAAAGACCAAATTCTTCAATGAAAAACAATCTCCTTTGCTGTGAAGAAGCTTTTTAGTTTGATTCTATCCCACCTGTTGATTCTCAATTTTACTTCTTGTGCTTTAGGAGTCTTGTGAAGGGAGCTGGTTCCTAGCTGACATGATACAGATTTGGGCCTACTTTTTCTTCTATGAATTGCAGGGTTTCTAGTCTAATGCCTATGTCCATGACCCACTTTGAGTTGAGTTTTGTACAGAGTGAGAAATAAGGGTTTAATTTTATTTTGCTAAGCACATATTTCCAGTTTTTCCAGCACCATTTGTTAAAGAGGCTATCTTTTCTCCAATGTATGTTTTGGTGCCTTTGTCTAGTATGAGATAACGGTATTTACATGGGTTTGTCTCTGTGTCTTCTATTCTGTACCACTGGTCTACATGTCTGTTTTAGTGCCAATACCATGCCCTTTTTGTTCCTATAGCTCTGTAGTATAATCTAAGGTTTGGTATAAAGATACCTCTTTCTTTGCTTTTCTTGCTAAAGATTGCTTTGGCTATTCTGGACCTCTTATTTTTCTCAATGAATTCCATGACTACTTTTTCTATATCTAGAAGAACGTCATTGAAATTTTAAAAGGCATTACATTAAATCTGTATAGCGCTTTTGGTAGTATGGCTGTTTTGACAATGTTAATTCTGCCTATACTGTTAATGGGAAATATTTCCATCTTCTAAGGTCTTCTTCAATTTCTTTCTTCAGTGTTCTGTAGTTTTAATTGTAGAGGTCTTTCACCTCTTTTGTTAGATTGATTTCCCCAATTTTTTTTGAGGCTACTGTAAATGGGGTAGTTTTCATGATTTCTCTTTCAGTTGATTCATCACTGATGTATAGAAACTCAATTAATGTATGGGTGTTAATTTTATATCCTGCTACTTTGCTGAACTCATTTATGAGTTCTAGAAGTTTTTTGGTGGAGTTTTTTGATCTTCTAAACATAGAATCATGTCATCAGCAATCAAGAATGTGAAGAGAGAGCCTACAGAATGGGAGAAAATCTTTGCTACCTGCTCCTCAGATACAGCATTAATCTCCAGGATATGTAAGAACTTTAAAAACTTAAAAATGAAAACCCAGATAACTCAATTAATAAACAGGCAAAAGAACTGAAAAGGCACTTCACAGAAGAAGAAATACAATTGGTCTGCGAATATACGAAAAAAAATGTTTAATATCTCTGGCAATCAGAGAAAGGCAAATTAAGACTACRCTGATATTCCATCTCATTCCAGTCAGAATGGCGAACATCAAAAATACAAGTAACAATAAATGTTGGAGAGGATGTAGGGGAAAAGGTACACTCATTTATTGCTGGTAGTACTGCAAATTGGTGCAACCATTCTGGAAAGCAATCTGGAGATTCCTCAGAAAACTTGGAATGGAACCACCATTTGACCCTGTTACCCCACTTCTCAGTTTATACCCAAAGGATTTAGAATCAGCACACTACAGTGACATAGCCACATCAATGTTTAAAGTAGCTCAATTCAAAATAGCTAAGCTATGGAACCAAACCAGGTGCCCTTCAACAGATGAATGGATTAAAAATGTAGTATATATACACTACGGAATACTACTCAGTCATAAAGAGAAATGAAATTATGGCATTTGCTGGTAAATGAATGGAACTGGAGATTATCATGCTAAGTGAAATAAGCCAAACCCTCAAAAAAAAAAAAAAAAAAGGCCCAATGAATGTTCTCTCTGATATGCAGATGCTAACTCACAATATGGGTGGGAATAGAAGTACACTGGATTAGACAAAGGAAATGAAGGGAAGGAAGGGGGAATGGGAAAAGGAAAGGTAGTATCAGACAAACTTTCCTATGTGCATATATGAATACACAACCAACATAATTTCACATCATGTACAACTAGAAGAATGGGATGTTATACTGCATTTATGTAACATATCTCATGTGTTCTATTGTCATGTGTAATAAGACAAAATAAAACAAAACAAACAAAAAACCCCCCAATCTCCTGACAAAAAAAAGAAGGCATGAAAAATAAAAGTTTAGTAATTTACTGCATTGTTTTAAATACAGACAGTTTTCCTTGTGGAGACAGAGTGTGTGCAAGGGAACATGAGAAGAACCTCCTGGGTGTTGGTGATGTTCTGTTTCTTGATTTGGTGGTAGTTATCCAGATGTGGTCAGTTTGTGAAAACTCACTGAGTTGTATACTTTTCTGTATATTTTTATAGGTTATACTTTTTTTAAAAAAAGCTAATTTTCTCTCAATGCATACACGTCTATTAGGAACAGGGATCATATTTATCTTCCTGTCTGAATCCATTGAAAAAACTGGAAAAAACAGCCAAGTGCAATGGTACACACCTGTAATTCCAGTTAGTTGGAATGCTGGGGCTGGAGATTTGCAAGTTTGAGGCCAGCCTAGGGCAATTTAGTGAGACCCTGCCTCAAAATAAAAAATAAAAGGGCTGAGGATATGGAGCACCACTGAATTCAACCCCAAGTACTAAAAAAAACAAACAAACCTTACTGAGATGAAAAACACCCTGAACTAAACAGAACAGATATTGCAAAAGAAAAAATTAGTGGACCTGAAGCTACAGCAACAGAACTATCTAAAATGAAACATGTAGAGGAAAGAATGACTGAACTTCACTCTAACACTCTCCCCAACAAAACCCAGGGGGCTATGGGCAGCTTCCCAGAGCTCTATTACATGTGAAATGAGGTTTTGAAGAAGAGGGGAGTTGACAGGAAAAAAAAAATGAAGAAGGAATGACTAACACTGTCCAAATTTGATGAATGAGAAACAAAGAATATCATATGAAGACATGTCATAATGAAATTGCTTAAATGAATTATAAGAGATAAAATTTTAAATCAGAGAGGAAAAAAAACAATAATGTACAGAAGAACATAAAAAAATAATAGCAGATATCTCATTAGAAGGTTGCAGTAGAATAACATCTTTAAAGTACTGAAAGCAAAAACTGCCAACCTAGGATTCAGGGGAAAGAACTTTCAAAAATAAGGTAGAACAAAAACTTTTTTTCAGATAAATGAAAGTTAAAAGAATCAACAGCAGCAAATGTGCACTATAAACTTAAAAGAAGACCTTCGGGCAAAAGAAACTTCCATACCAAATGGAAGTCTAAAACTACACAAAGAAATAAAGAAAACTGGAAGTAAACACAAAAAACTTCTTATTCAAATTTGAAAAAAATATAGTTGGCTATTCAAAGAAGAAATAATGACATGTATTGTGGGGCATATATCACATAAATGCAACAACACAGCAAAGGAAAGGAGGAATGAAAATATATGATTATGAGGATCTTATATATGAGGTTACTTAGGATTATTTGAAGGTAGACTGGTAAATCAAAGATATTTAATATTGACTCAAAAGCAATTACTACAATAATAAAACAAGTAAATATAGTTAATAAGCCAAAAAGAGAGAAAATGAATAAAAATATTTAATTACACACACACAAAAGCCAAAAGGTTAAGACAAAGAAAACAAGAAGGGATATGCCATACTAATAAGCATGTTATATGTAAACAGACCAACCACTCCAATTAAAAATCACAGACGGCTCAGTTGAATAAAAAAGCAAGACCATGAGGCTGGGGCTGGGACTCAGCTGTAGAGTGCTCACCTAGCACATGCAAGGCCCTGGGTTCAATCCTCAGCACCACATAAAAATAAATTAATAAAATAAAGGTATTGTGTCCAACTAAAAAAAAAAGCAAGACCAACTATATAAGAAACTCACTTTAAATATAATAGTTTTACCCAATTCATATTATTATTGTTATTTTTTAAGGTAGTGAAGATCAGGAATAATTGTAATAACTGACTACAACAAGATAACAACAAGGACAAGAAGAAATCCTATTTAGTTCCTTTAATTTGCTGTAAGATATGGATCACTAAGTTACTGGTTTTGTCCTTACTAACCTCCTTAGGCTTACTATATAATTACTGGGAAATATGAAATTTAAATAATCAATCAAAAAGGAACTTTATACAAAAAATAATCAATGTTTACATATTTTTAAGAATTGCTATAAATTATGACTGCATGGTAGTAGTAGCCTCGTCACCACAATTTACTTCATGGTTGCGTACATGAATGAGAACTGTAAGCACCTGGAATTACTCTACTATAATCTTCTTAAATATCATTTTGAATWTAATCATTCTCTCCTAAAAACCTGCAGGAGGTTCCAGGACAAACTCCAAACACTTAGATGGCATACAATATCCCCAAGAATATTATCATATAAATTCTGTTCTAAATATAAATCTCTCTTTCACATTCATTGGGCTTTTCAACCTTTCTTCCAACCTAGGCTCTGCTGTAATAACCAATATTGAATGTTTCTTTTTCAATTTTCTCTCTCTCTCTCTCTCTTTTCTCTTCTCTTCTATTTCGTGATAATAGGAATTAAACCCTGGGCCTTAGGCAAGCACCCTCCCATTGAACTACACCCCCAGCCCTCAGTTCTCTTTTTGTAGGCAACTTTTCCCCAGTGCTTTTCCTGACTAGGCCTTTTTCCTTTTCACCACTCAGCAGTCAACTGTACACACCTCTCATCTGATATTAATATGTATGGTCCTCTGGGGGTTCACCTCCTATACAACTGTTTGGTCTTATTACTCAACTTGACTATCAGTTTTGTTGTGTCTCCTAATATGTTAATATGTATAGTCTCACAGAGGTATCTTTATACATAGTAAGCTGAATAAATGCTTGTTGAATTAAAGGTGGAAATGAAGAAAATGTATTCAGAATATAACAGCCAATACGTATGCTACTTTATAACACTAAAATTTCATGAAACTAAAGTCTTATTTATAAAGTCTATCAAAATTTCCACTGTATATCTTAAGGGCCAGTGATGATCAAGAGATGTCAAGAAAGAATAAAGAAGCAAGATTATTTCTGGTTACTGTCAACATACCCGATGAACAATGAACTGTGGTGTACTGTGGTACGTGTGTGGCAAGTGTACCAGCTGTGGCTCTTACCTGCTCAGGGCACACAGCGTTCATTCCTGGCATCTGCAACGAGCTCATCTGCATCTGGCCCATCATTGGGTTCATGTTCTGAACATTTGTGTTTCCACCTGCCATGGACACGGTGATGCTCATATTGTTGTACACTCCTGGCTGTGCAGGTGTAGGCTGGTTCTGGACAGCTTGATTGAACACACTGTTAACTCAAAAACAATCCAGATTACATCCACTGATCATGAACATGGGAATAATGTAACTAGATTCTGTTTTCATCAGAAAATTTATTAGACAAAACAATTCCAAAGAAAATATTTTATATTCTTAAGTTACATGTAAGACTGTATCTTATTAAAATATATCAGGTTTCAATCGAATTCAGATACATTTGAATTCTGTTCAATGGGTTTAATAACTGAAAAGAGCTTGTTTTAAGTTGCAATTATTTCTTCAGGACTGACCAGATAACTTCATGTCTTTTCTATTAAACAAAATACAAGGCAATTATGTTTTCAGATGGTTTGTTTTACTGACTTCTTCATGATCAAGTTCTGGACTGTTGTTATACCAAAGATCTCAAATGTGAAGACAGTTTTATCAGTAGGTAGAATAAGCCCCATGTAAATTCAACTTGAAACTTTGTAACTGAACTCTGAAAATTCTCAGTGATACAAATACACACATCTAATGGAAAATAATATGATTTCTTTTATTCATAAGATCTATAAAACATCAAATATTTTATGATTATAAGTCAACTGTTAATTCTGGAGAATTTGACTCCAAAAGTGATTTCCCCTGTAATGGCTTCTTTATTCCTTATTAGCTCAAGTGGTAAGCAGGAAGTACTGACATTTACAGCTTCTAGTACATTAAGATAATCATACTGAAATTAAAAGACCAAGAACAGTATATTATTGTCTGAAGAAAAGTAGCAAATTCTTCCTCTAAATAATTATAAAACACAAATGCTCACAGAAAATTATATTCTTAGGAAATGCTCAATAATGCATGAGTGGATCATTAATGTCTGAACAACTATGCTTGTAGAACAGTGTTCCCACAACTATAGGTAAGAGAAAAACCTATGAGGGGCTAGGATTGTAGCTCAGTAGTAGAGCACTCACCTAGCATGTGCGAGGCACTGGGTTCAATCCTCAGCACCACATAAAAATAAATAAAATAAAGGTATAAAAAACCTATTAATTTATGCTTATTTTCTAATGAGAACATAGACAATGCTCATTTGTCAACTGATACATAAATCATCACTGTGAAGGCACAAGGCTATGTAAGTCAATGCATGTAGAAGCTTCAAAAACAGTGATATCATATTCATTGAGAAAATGTTTAGGACTTAAATTTCCTTTCAAATTTATATTTGGGCCAGGTGTGGTGGCACATGCCTATAATCCCAGCAACTCTGGAGGCTGAGGCAGAAGGATCGCAAGTCCAAAGCCAGCCTTAGCAAGGCCCTAAGCAATTAGTGAGACTCTGTCTCAAAATTAAAAAAAAAAAAGACAGGGGTTGTGTGGTTTAGCATCTTTGGGTTCAATCCCTGGTTAACCCCCCTGCCACCACCCCCCCCAGATTACACACACACACACACGCTTATTTTTATTTTTGAGACTATAAATTTGCTTAAATTCATTCAAACTACTGCCAATAGTTCCATTTTAGTTTACTCCATCAAGGGAAGAAAAGAAGTCTGTGAGCATCCTGAATCGCTGTCCTAGGTCCTGGAAAGGTCATTTGTCAGCAAGAGCCGTTTATCATATTCCTTGAGGTACCCTGCCCCATGTGGTAGAGATAATGAGTGGTCACTATTTCTATTAGTAAAATGGTAAGATTTACTGCCTATTTTGACTAATAATCTACACATGAATCAAATAAGCAAGTGTTAGTGTATGAAGAGCTAGTGGTGATTATTTTCTTTCCCAAATTATTTGGAAAAATTAAAGTTCATAGAAACTACTGAAAGACAACAAAAACTCTCATCCACATTTTAATATGAATCCAAGAAGTAACTTGGGAGTAGGGAGTTTTGGTACTGATTTCTATAATAGATGTTATGTGAAGTGCTACCTGTTTTACAGGATGGAGATGCAGAAGTAAATGAAAGCAAAGACCTTGCTCTTAGATCCTTGTATTTTAGTTGGATTACAAACAAATCAACTATCATAAACAGGTCTTAATTTTGATGAAGAAGCAAAGAATATAAAGGAGGGACCAAGGGTAGCAAATAGTATTGTTTCAGAAATGATTAGCTGGGCATGGGAGCATACAAAACCCTACCTCAAAAACCAAATCCAAAACCAAAAATCCAACTCCTCCCAAACAATACCACCCCCCAAAACAAACAAACAAACAAACCAAACTAGAAATGATGGCCAAGGAAGTATGATAAGGTGACATTTAATGTCTTTGTCTAATAAGGTGACATTTAAGGAGAAACTTGCAATTAGAGCCAGCAAACCATGTAGCTACTAAAGGGAAAAACATTCTAGCCCAAGGACTAAAAAATGCAAAGTTATTGTGTTTGCAATGGACGTGGCACATCTAAGCAACAGAAGAATACACAGAAGCCAGTATAACTGAGTAAGTGTGAGGTCAGAGAAGTATCCAGGAACAAGATAATGCAGGGCATTACAGGCCCTCTTTTGTATTTTGAGTAAGTTAGGGGCCACTGGAGAGTTCTGAGTGAAGGTATGACATACTGCCTCATGATTTAAAAACACTACTCTGATTACCATGTAGAGATTAAGCTATGGTATAGCAAGGGTAGAGGCAGGACACAGGAGGCTACTGCAATGGACCAGAAAAAGGTGTTGGTGGCTTGCATTATAGTATGTTAAGTATTCCTCTTGCATATTACAGAGATGGTTCCATCTATATCTAATTTATACAGAGTCCTTACTGAGAGTTCCATAGTTTAAAAAGGGAAAGATGCCAAGAAGTGCTTATGATTTGGTTATTTGTTTGACGTGGGATATAACAGAAAGATAAAATGTTTTCTTCTGAATGATTAGAAGAATGCAGTTATCATTTACTGAGATGGGGAAAAGTAGTAAAAGAGTGGGTTTTTAGGAGAATATCACCTTAGTGATATTTTATTTTTGATTTTGGTACTGGGATTGAACCAACGGCCTAGCATATGCTAGGTGAGTGCTTTGCCTCTGAACTAGATCCCCAGCACTCACTTTAGTTTTTGTCATGTTATGATTAAGATTTCTAAGCAGAGATGTCAATTAGGCAGCTGGATATACAGTATGTTGCTTAGGAGAGCTGTCTGGGTTAGACATTTAAATATGGTAAGTAATAAGCATATGGATAGATACTTAAGAGGGACAAAATTAAAGCAATCAAATAAGTGAGTGGATATGGGGAAGAGGTCTTAGAATGAACTCTGGAGATGACCTCCCAGCAAAGGATGGTCTCCAACAGAAGAGACTAAGGTAGGAGGACAGTTGCCTTTCTTAAGAGAGAAAGTCGCTCCAGAAACTAAATGAACCAATGAAAAGAATTTCAAGATGCTAAATGCTTAAGTGTGTCAAATGCTATTGACAAGCATTGCACTTTGCATGGTAGAGGAGATTAACCACCTTGACAAGAACACTTTAGGTAGAATGGTATGGATGAAAGCCTGACTCCTGACAAGGAGTGGGAGGAGAGGACGTAGATAGGAATTTAACTATAAATGAGAGCAGTAAAATAGTGAATGAGGGGCTGAGGTTGTGGCTCAAGTGGAAGGGTACTCGCCTAGCATGTGTGAGGCACTGGGTTCGATCCTCAGCACCACATAAAAATAAAATAAAGAAACTGTATTCACCTAAAACTAACTAACTAAATAAATATTTTTAACAAATACGTGAATGAGAGTCATCAGCAAAACTATATTTTTTCCAAGCCTTTCCTTTATCTATCTATCTATTTATTTATTTTTGTTGCTGGAGATGGGATTCAGGGCCTCATGCATGTTACACAAGCACTCTACCACTGAGTTGCACCCTATCCCTCACCCTCCAAGCTGTATTTAAATGCTTAGGTGGAGGTATGGAGAAGGAATTTAGTTGGATCTCAATTAAGGAGAGCTGCCAGGTATGAGAGCATCAGATGAGAGCTGGGCAAGGGAGTTGAGTGTGCCTGTAAAGAGACAGTGATGGACATGGAATCAAAAGGGAGTGTAGGAAGCTGGGATTAGAATATATTCCTCATGCATATTACAGAGATGGTTCCATCCATCTCTAATTTATACAGAGTCCTTACTGAGAGTTCCACAGTTCTCCGACAAAAAAAAATTTCCTGCTCACCTTTCAATGAACTTTAAGAGAATATGGTCTTATATTTTCAACTTTAACTGTCTTACTTATTATGTTGTCACATTAAATGGCTTCCCTGTCATTGGAACCAAGACACAACCAAATTAAAATCCTTATAAAACTCAAATGATGTGTGAAAAGTTCAGCAGCCAGGATTTGGAAAAAAAGACATTATATTAATGAGATAATTCTGAGCAAAATGGGTAAGATAAGGCCACTGAAAATACAGATATTAAAAAAGGGGTAAAGCAGAATGATCCAAGAAGCCTTAGAACCATTTTTTTTGTTTTGTTTTATTTTGTTTTGAGTTGTAGATGGACACAATACCTTTGTTTTATTTATTTATGTGGTGCTGAGGATCAAACGCAGTACCCCACGTAAGTGAGGCATGTGCTCTACCACTGAGCCACATCCCCAGCCCACCTTAGAACCTTTTGCTATTGTCATAAAAATCTTTAAACACACTGAGAAGAGTAAGATTTGTGTGCCCACTACTCAGCTCTATGAATTCTAACATTATAATAGTCTTGGTTTACATCTGTAAGATTTAAGAATGTTCTTACTAAGGAAAACTTTAAAAATATTATCTATTTCTATATCTGTCCCAAGGAAACTGTTACTGATGGGAGTTCATCACACTCTTCAGGGGTACAGGGAGGAGGAAGAAAATGTTGGAGACCACTAGACCATTTTTCTGTACTAAAAATACACAAATTTGCCTTAACAATGATTTGACACTTTAAATGTTAAAAATTCTTAATTATCTTTACTGATAACATAAAATTCAATTTCTTCCATTATATGAATGGTAGTAGCCAATAATCTTCTACTTAGACTGTAAAAAATAAAATCAGCCCATCATTGCTCTAATGTGCTACAGAGTATCAGGAATGTAAAATAAAATATAAAAATAACCCCTTACTTGTTGTTTCCTATTGCTCCTTGTTGCCAGGCCTTCATGTCTGGTGACTGGTACCCAGAAGCAGGTGGAGTTTGCTGGAGCAGAGAGCTCTGAGGGGGAGGGATTGGCATTGGCACCATGGAGCTCCCAGGACTTAGAGATGGAGCAAAGTTGGCCTCACCTTGGGGAACCATTCCTGAAAATTGATAAAAATTAAATTATGTGAACACACTATAGAGTTATTAAAACCATAAAAGAAAAAACCTAAAAGGATCTGTCATAATATATTTAGATGTATCTTCTTCAACAGAGTAGGGAAAATTATTTTCTCAAAATAAAGCAGGAAGTCTTAAAAAAAACAATCACACACGAAGAAGAATGCTTTCCATTCATTGAGATTGCATAGCACAACTATGTCTGATTTTTTTCTGTTCCATTTTTGCTAACGAGAATTTTTAAGTATAAAAAACATGAACACAGATGATGGATTACTTACATAACAAAAGGAACTTAGAAAAAATTAAGTAAGAGAAACCTATGTGTGAAAATGAAAAATAGAACGTTTCATGAGACAATCCTGCTTTGTCTCTTTGTGGACTCTTCTTCCCCTCCCCCCTTTTAAAACTTTATTGAGACATAATTTATACAACATGAAATTCACCCATAGCAACTGCACAATTCAATGATTTTTAGCAATTGTATAGAGCTGTGAACTATCAACACAATCCAGGGGAGGCATTTTCATTATACCTCAAATTCCCTTGTACTTATTTGCAGGGAATCTATTTTTTCCTTTTAACCTAGGCAACCTGATCTGCTTCTGTCTCTCCATTCAGATTTGCCTTTTTCTGAAAACTTCATATGAACATTATCATGTGTGGTCTTTTGTGTCTGGCTTCTTTTACTCAGCATAGTATTTTTGATATTCAACCAYTTTATAGCTTTTTTTTTCCCTCCCCAGTAGTTCATTCCTTTTTTTTTTTAAATTTAGGAAAGTGCTTATTAACAGCCATTGATATAATTGTGTTGAAAATCAAATAAAAGAAAAAAGAGTTTAACATCTGGACTTCTTATTCTTTTCTAGTGATCTACATGTCTATCTATATTTGTGTGCCCACTAACATGTTTTCTTCATTGTTGTAACTTTAGGGTAATTTTTGAAATTAGATAATTACTATACAACTCTGTTCATTTACAAAATTGTTTTGGTTACTCTAGGTCCTTTGTATTTGTATCTATATTGTAAAACAAGCTTGTAGATTTCTCCAAAAAGCATGCTGAAATTTTGATAGGAATTCTGTTGCATTATAGAAGTGAACTGCCAGTTTTTTGGTCTTTTTTCTGATTTCTTTTTTTTTAAATATTTATTTTTTAGTTGGACACAATAATTTTTTATTTTGTTTATTTTTATGTGGCACTGAGGATCGAACCTAGGGCCTCGAACATGCTAGGGAAGTGCTCTACTGCTGAGCCACAACCGAAGCCTTGATTTCATTTTAATATATCTTTATTTTACATATACTCAACAATTTTCATTATTACATATGTTCAAGTGCCCTGTAATTTTTAATCTACTGTCCATCCATCTAGCACGTTTTTCACTCTGGTATTCTCTCCTACAAGTTTGATTTTTTTTTCCATCTTCCACACCTCTTCTTAACTTGGTTAAGTGTTCTTCTAGTTTCTTGAATATACAGAATAAATTTATAATTTTAATTGCCTTAAAGTCTACTAATTCTATCATCTGTGTAATTTCTGGCGTGGTGTTTGATTGACTAATTTTTCTCATCATTACAGGTTGCATTTGCCTGCTTCTTTGCATACCTGGTAAGTTTTAAAAGTCAGATTTCAGACTGAATTTTATACCTCGTTAGGATCTGGATTTTTTAAAAAATTTTTGACTTGTCTGGGCTGTGGTTAGGTTACATCAAAACAATAACTCTTTTGGGGTCTTGTGCCTAGTGAGACAAGAGCAGAGTTCAGATTAGGGCTCATTTTGCCCTCCTACCAAGGTAAACACCCGATACTCCATAAATTGTGTTTTAAAAATGGTAAGAAGAGGATGGTAAGAATGAGGATGGTAAGAAGGGAGCTGGCCCTGTGCAAACTCTGAAGACTATTCCCTTTAATCTTTTCAGGTGGTTTTCTCTGGTCTTGCTTTGTGTACATATATACATGCATGCATGCATGCACGTTGACATTTCTCAGGTGAAACCCTGAGGGGGACCCTCTGCTTTTCCCCCTTCTTCTCTGTGTGTGCTCTGTCCTCTCTGATATTGAACCTTGTGACTTCCAGTGCTGGCTTTCTCAGCTTCTCAGCTCTACTGCCTGTACCTAGGGAAACCACCTAGCTTCTGCTGGATTCTTCCTCACGGCTACACAATCTGGACAATGTCCAGAACTGTTTTTTAATTTACTTTGATGTTTTGTTGGTTTCAAATGGGAGAATAAATCTGGTCCCTGTTACTACATTCTGGTCAAAGAAGAAGTCCTTATAAATGGATTTCTTTTTATGCTTTTGTTATGCTAGCACTCTGTATTCTCTTTCTCTTTTTCTTCCAACCAAATGCAGCTCACAATTAAATACTTTTAAGGCAAGAGTAAGCCATAAAGACAGAAAAAGAATGTCATAATTTGATTGCTGATAATTTAGCATAATTCCTTCAAATCTCCAGAAAATTATGCATAATTTATACCTGATCATTTCCCTTGTCATGATACCACAAGCCTGTTTCTATGTCCTTAATGTCTTTTTAAGAACAAGCATAAATGCTTGTACAAATTCTGTTGCTAATATGATGACTTTTCTCTTTGTTTGGTTAATCTAGCCAGAGATGTATTACTTTACTCATTTTTTATTGTTTTACAGGCTACAATTTTAATTTTTCTTGTGATTCACATAGATTTTCTATAGTTTCTTTTTTCCTTTCACTAAATGCTTAATTACTGTTTTGGATAAAGATGATATAAATACAGCAATGAATTTATATTTTCTTCCTGCTGCTCTCTCCATGTGTAATTTAATCTCTGGTAAATGATCATGACTTAGAATACAAGAAGAAATTTTTCTTTCATCTTTGACTCTCAAGGGTGAGGTTTTGGTTTTTGACATCATCTTCTATGCAGACTGCCTTTGCATTAATTCTGTTTGAAATTTTCTATTTTGGTTCTGGGCTTTTAAAAATTACTTGTTTTGTAGTTAATGTATTTTTAATCTTATTTATGATGAAATAATTTCTTTGAGAATAAATATGGATGTGTGGGGGAGAAAATACTTATCATATTCTGGATATTATTCTGTGGAATCAAAGTTAACCAAATAAATAAAAGATCCAAATATTATCAGGATGCTTTTTGATATTTCCTTTTGGCTTCATTTCATCAAAATGTCCACATTAGAATGGATAGTCTTCCTTATTACATGACCTGTATTTTCATTGTTTTTGTGGTTAGTGTTGGTCTTTTATTTTTACTGTTTTCCATATTTTTATTGGTGCAGTGTAGTTGTACATGTTGATGGAATTTGTTGATACATATTCATATATGCACAAAATATAACAACATAATTTGGCCAATATCACTCCCCAGTACTTCCCCCATTTCTCAATTTTATTTATTTATTTATTTATTTTTTGTGGCACTGGGGATCAAACCCAGGGTCTTATGCATGCAAGGCAAGCACTCTATCAACTGAGCTATATCCCCAGCCCCCAATTTTATTGTTTTTTAAAAGACTTTTTTTAAAAGAGAGAGAGAGGAGAGAGAGGAGAGAGAGGAGAGAGAGGAGAGAGAGAGAGAGAGAGAGAGAGAGAGAGAGAGAGAGAGAGAGANAATTTTTAATATTTATTTTTTAGTTCTCGGCAGACACAACATCTTTGTTGGTATGTGGTGCTGAGGATCAAACCCGGGCCGCACGCATGCCAGGCGAGCGCGCTACCGCTTGAGCCACATCCCCAGCCCCTTTAAAAGACTTTTAAAGTGAAGTTTTAGGTTCAAAGCAAAATTGAGTGGAAGATACAGAGATTTCCCACGTATCCCCTCCCCCCCTCACATGTATAGCTTCTCCCATAGGGATGTTTGTCAAAATTTATGAAAACTAGTGTATACTAATACCAATTATCATTCAGACCTTAGTTCATAAAAAGGTTCACTCTTGGTGTTGGACATTCTATGGGTTTGAATAAATGTGTAATGTCATGTGTAAACCATTGCAGTATCATACAGAATAGTTCCACTGCCCTAAAAATCCTCTATGAGATGATCTAGTTTTAGTAGAAAGAAATAGCCTGTGGATAATAAATTAGGGGGAGAGTTATAGTTCTGGTCTCAGTTCTCCTTCTACACTGAACTTTGGAGTCCTTGGACCAGGTAATCTAGTTCCTTCTACTTAAAAAATTCTACAATTCTATCTTTGTCTAGACTATGCTCTCTCTCCCTGCTGGACCATAAGCAGCACAGCAGCCAACTGATAACAGCAACTAGAATTAGAACTCATACTTCCATTCGTTCATTTTAAAAAAAATATTTACTTTTTAGTTTTAGGTGGACACAATATCTTTATTTTACATTTATGTGGTGCTGAGGATTGAACCCAGTGCCTTGTGCATGCTAGGCAAGCACTCTACCACTGAGCCACAACCCCGGCCCCTCATTTTTTTTTTTAATATTTATTTTTTAGTTTTATTTGGACACAATATCTTTAATTATTTATTTATCTTTATGTGGTACTGAGGATTGAACCCAGGGCTCGCCAGTGCTAGGCAAGCCCTCTACTGCTAAGCTACAACCCGTCCCTCATTCATTTCTTTATGCATTAAGCATCTATTCATTGCCAAAGCACTGTGCTAAGCACTGGAGAAGCAAAGATTAAAAAGATCACACTTTGGTCATGGAAGGAACTTGCTATTTAAAAGACAGCTAGAATAACATTTGATTATACAGGATGGTGAGTGTTTATGATTGGAAGTATCAGGGATGGACTTCTAGGACATATATCTGAAAGGAGAGAGGAACAGGAATGAGACAGGTAAGGGAAAGATATTTCAGATGGAGTACAGGAAGTACAAAGGCCCAGAAGTAAAAGAGAATATGGTATGTGCTTTTTCTTAGAACCTGAGAAATTTGTTATAGCTGGAACACTGAGATATGGAGTAAAGGAGAAATGGGGCTGATGAATCTAGCTTTGGACAATTTGGAGTGCTGGTGGAAAATGCAAGCATATCTGTCCAGTGGACAACTGTTCATATGAGCTGAGATCATAGAGAATGGAGTCATWAGCATGTAGAAGGCCCTGCAGGCCCAGGATCAATGATGAGGAGTATACAGAGTAGCAAGTTCACTGCAGTCCACAGAAGAGAGGTCTCTGGATGGGCTGCAAGGAAGCCATGAAGTGTAACAACGTTCATGCTTATTTCAAATATTATCCTTGTATAAAGCAATTTGTGTTTAATTCTGTGCTTGTATATTCATCATCATGGAAAGACAGTCTAGGAAAGTTCTGTTTTCAGAAATATAAGAAAACTTACTTTGCCATTACTCTTATCTATATGTCCCTTTGTTTAATTTGGGCCCATAGTAAGCTGAAAGATGCCAGATCTTTTTGTTTTACTGTCACCAGTTAGTATAGGGATCAGCAAACTTACTACTAAGTGCCAGATAGTAAATATTTTTGGTTTTGTAGTGTATAATGTTTCTGTAACAACTACTCAAGTCTACTCTATGAAACCAGTCATAGATAAACTAGTATAAATGAGAGCATTGAAAACTAGTGAGCATGGCTATGTTCCAATGAAACTTTACAAAACTGCATGGGCTGATTAGGTTCATGGGCCGGAGTTTATCAAACACTGAAAAATGTTGGGACATATATTTTAGTATTCTAGGGTGGCAAATTAATTGTCAGTAAAAGCATAAAATTATAAAGGCCACAGAGCCCTTGCATCTAGATTACCTTAAGCTGATTTTTAAAAAAATACTTTTTTTGGAGAAAGTTTTTTTTTTGAAAGTGTTAGAAATTTTCTAGAACTAGAACTTGAATTTGTACCAATTTAAAATCTGGTCTTACAGCCTTCTAATCAGACCATTGATCATGTTGGGGCAAATTTATAATTTTAAAGTAAGAAGTTAAAAACACGGCATCTTTAAATGTTACTATTCTCTCCAGAAAAAATCTAAGTTTTTTCTAGTATTATTTTGAAGGAGTTTATGAAAGAATTGATAGCTTTGCCATTTCATTCTCTGCAAATGGATAAAACTATTACATTCTTTACTGTACCAACATCTCGGTTTTGTTTGTAATATGAATCTGACTTTGTCTAAGAAAATTCCTATTTTGTGAAAAGTAATTTTTTGTCAATCAAAAAAGTTAGTCTGGGGCTGGGATTGTAGCTCAGTGGTAGAGTGCTTGCCTCACATGTGTAAGGCCCTGGGTTCGATCCTCAGCACCACATAACAAAAATAAACAAAATAAAAATAGAGATAAAAAAAAAAGTTGGTCTGGAAGAAAAATCTAGGTATCAGACACATACTGATTACGGGTGCTAACATGTTGCCCAGCAAGTCAAATGGCAGCTTTCTCATTGAAATTCACTTTTAAGCAGCTTTAAAATTTTCATTTCCCTTTTCACTTATATAATCTGGGTTTATTATCATTTTTTCAGGAACTGGTCATTAATTTTGCATAAAAGTTAGATTAAGCGTGGTGGATCAATTAAATGTGCATYACTACCAGTACCTATTAGGAGCTAAAAGTGATAGAAAAGAAATTGAAAAAAAACATATCATCACCCAGGACAAAGAGAACAGAAGACAACACAAATATGAGATTTAAAAAAACAAAACTTGGCAAAACAATGTTCACTGACAGGAAGCTACAACCTAAGAAGCCAATGAGAAGTCTAAGATACTCTATAGAGATCCATTATCCTTACATAAACTATCAAAAACAAAAATCACACAATAAAAAAACTATAGGCAAATTTTGTCAATTAGCTTTCATTGGAATCCATGAGAAAGTAAAAAAAAAAAATAAGAGAAAGTACTTTGTATACAAAATACTAAAAACTTTAGAGTCAGCCAATTCCTTACAAATCCTCTAATTTAATCATCTCAACTATCAAAGAGAGATAAGGCTCAAACCATTCAACCATTTAAGTGACAAGAATCTGAACCTCCTGCCACCATCTTTCCTCTGTAGCACAATGCCTCAATGTCAGTGAGTGGAAATGCATATGAAGCAAGACCTGCACCTATTGGAGTATTAATAGAGGTGTCTTACTTAGAAAAGCAATATACAGTTGTGCTCCTCGTACCTGATCCTGGATACTGGAAGACATTCTGCTGCATCTGAGGGTTGATTCCAGTGCCAAACTGTCCTCCCATGTTTCCTGCCATGCCTCTGTTCACCATGCTGTTTCGGGTGGCCAAGGCTGCATCAGGATTTGCTGCCAGTTGAGAAAATGGGCTGGTAGAAGCAGGCGGGGTTCCTGGATTTGTACCATAGTTTGGTGGGTAGGGGAATTGCTGTGGAGCACCCTGAGGAAGACGGGGGTTCCCCATTTGAACTGGCAGTCCAGATGAGGGAGGGAGGTTGTTCCCAAAGCTTTGTTGCCTCATGAGCATGGCCCTCTGCTGCTGTATAAGCTGCCTCTGTCGGTGCTGCTGACTGTACAACTCCCGCTGACGTTGTGCCAACATTTGCGCATTCAGAGGTGGCTATGAAGGAGGAAAAAAATAACATAATTTAAAAACATTAGTTAGTATTTGAAGCAAAAATATTAAAAAATGCATGGAAATCAAGTAGGGAGAGACCACTAGATACCACTCAGAAGGCCATCCAATTCTTTTGAAGTTGAAAGTCTCAATGGCTCTGAGTTTATACATGAGTATCTTTAAAATAAATAAAATCTAGAAATGCTCATGGTTTGACTGAACAGAGTATAGAAGGCAATTAAGGCAACTGAGAAATGTGAGTGGGTTTTTATTAGGTTTCAGATCCCATTTATACAGTTTCATATCCAAAGCTTTTTATTACTAGTGCCATTCAGTACAGCAATGAGTTTTCTCCATAGTCATCTGGTATCCCCTAACAATGAATGACACTAACAAAATAACAACAAAACAAAACACAGAACCCTTTGGCTTTGGATCAAATATCAGTTGACTTATTAATTCACTCTAGAAGAAAACTACTATAAACATCATTAAAAGATGAGATGGACATCATTACCCTAAGTACATGTATGAAGACATGAATGGTGTGACTCTACTTTGTGTACAACCAGAGATATGAAAAATTGTGCCCTATATGTATAATATGAAATGTAATGCATTCTGCTGTCATATATAACAAATTAGAATATAAAAAGATGCTCACAGACTATTTTTTTATTTTTTAAAATATTTTTTAGTTGTTGATGTACCTTTATTTTTAATTTATTTATATGTGGTGCTGAGGATCGAACTCAGTGCCTCACACATGCCAGACAAGTGCTCTGCCACTGAGCCACCACCTCAGCCCCTCAAAGGCCATTTTAAAAACACGTTGACACTTCAATATTGCCTGGGCCAGAGAAGTACTACTAATTAGTAGTACATAAGTACTACTAATGTGGCTTCACCACATTACCTGAGGTGTAATTTGTTGCTGCATGCCTGATCTCATGTTGATGCCAACAGGAGCAGTTGCTGCAAACTGATTCAAGATAGCATGTCGGTTTTGGTGTAGCAACTAAGAAAAATGACATAAAGAGAATGACATATTTCCATGTACACATATAGAATAGCTTAATAGAATAACACAAATTTATTATTGATTACTAAAAAGTTTTAGTGTTGCAGGTTCAGTAACATTCTCCTATGTTTATTTGCCATAGGGTAGTAACTATTTACCCCAGAACACTAAATACGGCAAAGCACTTAAAAATAGAACACACACGCAAATGTACATATTTATTGTACTTTTGAAGCATATTAATAGTTGTTTTAGTAAGTTCAATAATGGAGGAAAAGAAAAATTAGCCTTAGATGTTAAAATAAAAAAGCAAGTGCACAATAAGGGCACATTCTGCAAAGGTCTGAAAAACAAACTCTAAGTTGATGTATACTTGAGGAGGGTATTCTCTCTTGGAGGAACTATGCCTGATGGGTACATATTTGGGGAAAATCCAACATGATACTATTAGTTTGAGAGAGTTATGTAAGAAACAAATGGTCTGAGAAAGTGGATTATTTATTTAACTAGAAGAAGTAATTACCAGCATTTCCCAAATTGGTGTTCTAAAGAACATTGTTCTGCAGGATATTAATAGATGTGCCAGGAAAATAGCATGCTGTGCTGTATGAAGTATTGGAAATGATGAGTTACACAAGGTGAAACAGATTTATTTACTGCAGCAATTTTACAAGCCTTTAATTGGCCAAAGCACAGTGTGCATCTCCAAGAAGGGGATATACAATACAACTTATTTATCACAAACCGTTTTTTTTTTTTTTTTTTTTTTTTTGGACTTATGTAACTACCAACATCTAAATCCCAGAACAATCTTCTATGGAACATTGGCTTGGAAGATCATTCCAGATCAGGCTAGGTTTTCAGGTTATAGTTATGTCTTAACTTTTTTGGGTAACAAAAAAATTATCCTTTGAAGTGAGATTTCACTGTAAGCAACCTATAGCTTAAAAATTTCTTCCTCAATATGCCTGACAAGAATACAGGCATAGTGGTGCATGCCTGTAATCCCAGTGAYTTGGGGGGCTGAAGCAGGAGGATCACAAGTTAGAGGCTAGCCTCAGGAAATTAGTGAGGCCCCTCCCCCCAAAAAAAGAAAGAAAGAAAGAAAAAAGAAAAAGGAAAAAGAAAAGGTCTGGGGATGTAGCTCAGTGTGGTAGAGGGCCCCTGGGTTAAATCCCTACTTAAGAAGAAGACAGAAGAAGAAAGAAGAAAGGAGGAGGTGGGGGAGGCAGAAGGGGAGAGCAGGTGAAGGAGAAAGAAAGGGGAAGAGGAGGATGAGAAGGAGGAGCAAAAGGAAGAGGAAGGAGAAGGAGTAGAAGAGACAATAAACCAGAGAGACAACAGTAATAATATTATTAGTATTAGACTCAAGTGATCTTCCTGCCAAGTAATTGGTACCACAGGCATATATGTATCTCTATATGGTTTTATGTTTATAGGTACTTTACAACTGATAGATTATATAAGATGTATTTTGTTACACTATATGTAAACTTAAAAGCCTATGAAAGGTTTATTAAAGAATCCAAAGAACTATGAACAGTGATTAAATTTCTCATTGCCAAATAGATCAACTTTTAATTCCGGTTTCATTTTTTTTTTCTGACTCTCATTAAATCAGAAACCAAACCCATTTTGGGAAGAAAGTTCATATAATGTAAATATTAAAATTACCATTTTCGAGCAGCCTGCAGCAGGGTCCCGGAGACCCAGGCCAACTGATTCGCGTGGCCTGCCCTGCGGCTACAGAAGGCGTGGCGCCTCAGTGAAGCCATTAATT